TGGGCAAGTATTTTTATTTTGCAAAAATAGGATATACACAGTTCTGTCCTGATTTTCTTTCAATTATAGCTCACAGAAATTTTTCTGTGTCATTTGGTATAACTACATGTATTGACTATATTTTCTTATTTTCTGTATTCTTGATACTCTGGCATTTGGGGCCTTGGTCCTGGCAACACTGCCTCTTCCAGGTCTAATTAATTCCCAGAGATAGCAAAGGATTCCCCAGGGAGCATGCCTTTGATATACAAACCAATCAATCCAGAGTCCACACCCCCAGCCATCTTCTTTATCAAGCTCTCACACACTAAACCACTATTCCCCTTGTCCTAGATTACCCCAGGGCCGGGTACCAGACAACTAAGTGCCAGAGTCTAATGAAATTATTCCAACTATCCAATCCTAAATTTATTCGGTGTACCTATCCTGCCCCACTCATTCCTTCCCAGCAAACCCCAATAAAGGCCATGCTCTGCTTTCTCCTAGAGAGGCCTCCTGACCTAACCTAGTCCTTCCCCCGTAACCCTGCATGGCAGGGTATGCCATGCCTTCTGGTTCTAGTTCTAGGGATCTGTGAATATAAACATCTTCCTTCGTGATGATAGTCATTTCCTTCTGTGTGTCTTGCCATACCTGATTAGAACAAAACCAGGACAAATCTCAACACAGTTGGCACAGCGAGCTGGGTGATTTGCACGAAAAGTAGATGATATTCTTTGAGCTGATCTTGGCTTATTGTCTAGATGTGACAGTCAAGGGCCACTGCCTGAAAGGGCACCCCTGGTTGTTAGTGCACTTGCTGCTTGGTGCCTGCTGCATTGTGTTGTTTTCCTGTCAGGTATTACCATGATTTCCCAACCTAAAGGGGGCACTCAGTGTATTTCCCCCATTGGTGGAGAGCTCAAGATCCAGGACAGAACCACTGGGGTTTATAGGTGACTGGCTACATTTTTAAAAGGTCCATCTGCTGGGGATGAGGAGTGACTACCTTCCTACTGCCATAGGACAAGTCTAATCCACTGACTGGGCAACGCTGACAAGCAGTAGAGCCATCTGAGTCACTTAGATGAAGAATCTAGTGTCTGGAATGACATACGCTTCTGGAGGCATGCATAAACCATTTCTCTTGTCCTCTCTGAGCTTTTCTGAGTCAAATTCCATCCTGTTCCTCAAAGCAGTAGGAGATGGCTCCACCTGAACACTTGCTCATATGCTGTGAACCATTTGTGGGTTTGGTGTGAGGGCCTTCTCAGAAGATCATGGCTCCCCACAAACACTTCTAGTCGCAAGCTTCATTGCTATGCCTACTTGCTGCTGTCATGAGCAACTTATTTCCCAACCTAGCAGGGTCTAACAGGTCCCATCCCTGGAGACCAGTGGCTCAATATTTAATAAAAAAGGGAATGAAGGGGAAGCTGCATCTGGTTCCAGCACCCCCCCAACCAAAACCCTGAAGAGTTGATCCAATGAATTTTAAAAATGCAAAGTACTTAATCCATGTATGTGTACTCTCCTAAGAGCCGCTAATTGTCAACATGCAAAGGGTCTTGTGCTCAAACAAAAAATGTAAATGCTAATGCTGATGCCACCATTGCTTTCCTAGATGTAGACTTTAGCCCCTCTAAGGTTGATTGGGACACCCTAGAGAAGGGGGGCTTTGCTTACAAAGATGCCACTCGGAACCATCAGAGCTTATCAGGTAAACATCCAAAAGGGAAAAAAAAAAGGAAAAATTTTAGTCACCTAGAGATTCAAGCCATTCTACAAATTTGAAAAAAGGTGGGTGTGAGGAAGGGATTGATTATTCTGTGGTCAGAGGACATCCCAGGGGAAAGTTGCCTAGATGCACTTGGCCCCTTCAGCCTCCCTCTTTTCGTCTTACCAGCCAGAAAAAAAAGTAAAGACTGCACCTAGGGTGCAAAAACCTGAAACAGGAAGAAAACAAGAAAAATGACTTTAGGTGGCTACAAACCCAAGGGGAAAAAAACCAAAAAGTTTAAATTTTAAGTACTAGGCAAATGCCAGTCTAGCAAGCATAATGCTAGTTCTAGATTAGTTACTGATTTAAAAGCGAAACAAAATAAAAGGTAATTGAATAATATATACATATATAATATTAAAACAGTTTTATAATTTGATCCAATTGGCATTCCAAAATTTATACACTAAATGAATATACTGAAGGATTATTTTATAACAAAAAGATAAAAGGGCACCTTATGATGCATTACTACAACATTAATAATGTGGTCCCATCCATTGGGGCCCCCATACTCTATATCCAATATTATTGAAATTACTGATTCTATTCAGTCAACAACTGGTAAATATTTTGCTCTTACAGATTTGGCTAACATGCTCTGTTCAGTGCCTGTTTCACCAGCCTCTAGCTGCAATTTGTCTTCGCCTCAAAGGAACACAATACACCTTTTCCAGACTGTCCATCAGGTACCTTAGCAGCTTTGCCACCACACAGTCTTTGCAGACAGGATCTCAACTGCATCCACCTTCTTCCAGGAGCACAGGTATGACATTACACTGATAACATCCTTCTCCAAGGAGACTCATTTGGTACACATTTAGGATATACAGGTACATCTTTTAGTACTTTTGGGTTCTGATGGCAACATAGTTTTTACCTACAAATTTTACATCCAAATTGAAATTAATAGGTACTCCTGTAGCAGACAGCTACTCATCTGATATGGGACCTGTATGAGCCTAAACTTCCACCAAAAAACAAAACCCTTGTCAGTGCAGCTTTACACCTTTCTGTTGACTGTTGGTCTTATTGCCCCTGGTCTGGGTGCTTTCATTAATTTACAGTCTGGAAGCCCAAACCCTCTAAAGCCATTGTTTCCATCAAACACGGCAAATGCTGAGACCCACATCACCTCGGATGGGTACTATCTTGGAAAGGATACCCCAGACCCACATCCCAGAGAACATTTCCCAGTCCAAGACCTCACCGTTGGAGATGATTTCACCCTAATACTAAAGCATGAGCCCCAGCAACGCCCATGACTACCTCTCCTAAGGCACAAATTGGACATAGGACATTTTTGCTTTTCTTCCTTTGTTATTAGGGATCCCATTACATTTCTGAGCTTACTGTCTGCTTAGCCCATGATCCTGCTCTACTCCTTGTTCTCTGCCAAAGAGTACACCCCTGCACTCCCATGCCTAAAGGGAAATCTAGTGGAGGTTACTGCTATCTGTGTTCTAAATATTAATGGAGATTACTGTTTTCCCTGGAGGCATTTGCCTCCTATCAGTCAACTCCTTCAAGCCCTCTGGGGAGAAGACCATCTACTTCACAAGGCTTTTTCCTACTCTCATCCTGTGTCTGCTCTGTGATTACCACAACCACTCTTTTCCCTTGGTTACACACAATACCACTAACCTTTACGTATACTTTGCTAATATGTCATTTAATACCCTGCAACAAAAGAAGTGCTGGACCTGCACTTGATAGATATACAAATAGACATGTTATAATCTCATACTTTTAGCACACTTTGAAACTCCACTAAGATATTGTTGGAGACTAAGAATTTCAGATCTGTCTTCTTGGTTAATGCCGTATGAATAGAAAATCTAGTTATGGGCTGGCCTGCAAGGACTCCTTACAACTCTACTTATGTTCTTCCTTTCTATTCTCTTAGTAAATATTTTCCACACTGTTTAGAACAGCTTGTGTTCTACTCTCTCATAGTCTCCACTAGCATCACCCCCCAGATATTCCTTAATATGATGCCAAAGCATCACAGCCAATTGTATTGATTACATTTTCTTATTTTCTGTATTTTTGGTACTCTGGCACTGGGGGCC